CAGATGCCAAAATCTGCAATAAAATCTCTACAATATTTCAACAAATAAAGCATAACTGAGATCTTTCTTACAATATGTCTCCTTGGATATGAAAGAGAAATCTCTAAACATTAAGGTTTATCTCAGGGTTTTTGCTGTTGGTGATTTGGAAGAGACTTGAGAGCATTTTATTCTTTTGTCATTTGTAAATGTTAATTGTCATAAATCTAATTAATATCTAATAAATCTAAATAAATGAAATGTATTGTTTCATTTAATTGACCGTCTCTTAGGATCAACTCAGGCGGTGGGAATGCTTTGAGTCATTGCTGCATTGTGACGGCACCTCATACCAATGAGTACAAATCAGATTCATGTGCCATGACAGAACATGTGAGAGAAAATGATTCTCCATCTGAATAATTCAGAATTTCAGATCCACTACAAACTAATTATACCTGTGTACTAAAAATGAAATGTTTTGTGCACATCAGTGTTGTTATCATTGCAGTTAATAAGTAATAATAATTCCAGTTAATACATAAATTAATAGGAAATGTGTCAATGATACAGTTGATAATACTACATGAATTTCTGTCTGCTTTTTGAATTGTAATACTCATTATTTGAAGGTCACAGCATTATACAATTAAGGTTCATATTCTGGTTAATAATTCTATTTCAAAAGATGCTGTAATATTTGGTATAATATTGAAATTTAGCAATTTTCCAGTGCATGTAAATGGTCAATGCAACTTCTATGCCCATAATTACGGCATATTCCAGTTTAATGAAAATATTCAATACTTTAATAAGACCGAGTGGTAACCATTAGTTAGAAAAGATACTGCTAATGTTTCAGATTGTTTAGATGTTTCTTCTGTTGTTTCCTTAATGCAATGTCACTCATTTAGTTTGTGTTGAAAATGTTCTTGTTTTGTTTTGCAGGCTATTTAAGAAGAAAAAATGTAAGGCATACTAGGTTTTATTCTTCAGGAACTGGATCAAAAAAAGGTCTCTATTTGACGTGGTGGGAACTGATAAAAAAATAGCAGCATTTGTTAACAGGAACGTGTTTTGTTTACATGTTGTCTTTTAAAATTACTAAAGTGGAATTATGTTCCTATTTTGCAGAAAAGTAATAATTAAAGAACAAAATCTTATTCAAAATACTACGGTTTATAGTTTCTATATAGAATTGCAATATTGTGTTTTAGAAATGCATTACTTTTACAGGGAGACACTTTTTGTTCTCGCAATTTTAGCACCACTATGCTCTACTGGCAAAAAAAAATTGAAGGAATACAACCTGTCTGCTCTGACTGTTTGCTGGTTATGCCCTCTTTTTTGTCATGAATTTTAATAAGGGAAGGCCGTTTATTTACATATGGCAGCAGTGTGGTCTGCATCAGCTCTCCATCTGGTGCGCTGAATAACACGCATCATTTCCCCCCACGGCGGCAGAAAAGAAAGGCGTGTTTCTAGGAAACCAGAGGTTCCACAAGATCTTCTGAAACGAGCTCTAATGAAACATGATGTTAATTTACCCGTTGTACATTACACTGTGGGGGAGATGAGGGGAAGAATGAGTTGCACCCGCTGATGGTGCTGTGCATTTGCATAAACTGTTTGCGTTGCTTTAGCACCTATAATTCACTGGAAGAATTATGCAAATCATGTAACAGTGAATACGTGCACATAAAATCTGTGTTGAACGCAAGTTGTCTGGTGTAAATCTTATGCAGTTAAACGGAGTTTGTGGTTAGTGAGTTTCACCAAAATAATATAGTTACAGTGTAAGTATTTTTGCACTCTAAAAAATGCTGGGTTAAATACAACCCAGCACTGGGTGAAATATGGACAAACCCAGCAACTGGGTTGTTTTGACTCAGCGGTTGGGTTAAATGTTTAACCCAACCTTCTGGGTAGTAACCAACCCAATAGCTGGGATTGTCCATATTTTACCCAGCACTGGGTTGTTTTTAACCCAGCATTTTTTAAAGTGTGGATGTCCACCAGGCACAAATTGTACAGTAAGTCTTAAAAATAAAAATAGCAAATCTCCTCAGGTTTCATGATTTCATGTTTATATAAAGTTATGAACACGTCTACCAGTAACATTAGCAGAATGTTGTTTAAAGTTATCTTGTTTCAGATTGTGCAGAGAACATTCAAAAGTAATGTTCTCATAATGTTTGCAAAATGATCAAACTGAACATTCCCTTAAAGGGATAGTTCACCCAAAAATGAAAATTCTGTAATGAATTATTCACCCTCATGAAGTTCCAAACCCGTAATACCTCCGTTCATCTTCGGAACACAAATTAAGATATTTTTGATGGAATCTGAGAGCTTTCTGACCCTCCATCAAGGATCCTAACACTATCACGGTCCAGAAACGTAGCAAGGAGATCGGTAAAATAATCCATGTGACATCAGGGGTTCAACCTTAATTATAATAATTAAACAGCGTATCCATGTACATACATTGGATACGTTGTTTACGTTCAGATCAAAGCGTAAACATCATAAACAACGTATCTGCGTACGGTGCTGCTGACACAGATAAGCATATGTTGTTTACGTATGTGACACTCTCCAAAATGGCGCTACAGGGTAACGCAGAGGAGACGAATTGTTGAATAAAGTTATTATTTTTGTTTTCTTTGCACACAAAATGTATTCTCATAGCTTCGTAAAAATGACGGTTGAACCACTGATGTCACATGGATTATTTATTATAAAAAAAAAACAAAAAAAACATTAATGATCTGAACTGGTTCACTTTCTAGTAACATTTTAAATATTCATGATTTTGCCCTTTTTGTGCTTTTTTTTAATTCATCCTTCAGGCCTTAAAAAATATAATACAACTGTTTGCTTGTATGCAGCTGACATGCATATTAGAAATAGGAGGCATTCAAGGTCTTTATTGATTTTTCTCTTTCTCCGACCCCTATCAAGTGTGAGCAGCACTGACTGACTGAATGCAGGACTCAAGGGACTGCAGCCTGACGAGCGTTAAGCAGAGCTGTCCAATAACACACACACACACACACTAGAAGTAAAGGTTAAGTCATATTTGCACCCGATGGACTGCTATAATGCACATAACTCACCCCTGAGACATGCAAGCTGCTTTAGTTCAGGTTTCATTTGCATTTACTCCAGTCAGTGATCTCTTTGCTATTTGCTTCTAACATTAAAGAAATATACAGAAGGGGTTTTAATTGAAACAGTTGGCACTTTTGTCTCTAAATAAATGTCGACATTTTCTGAAGGATATGTGAATGATGCTTGCCCAGCAAAACCTATTGCTAAGTTAGCTGATAAGGTGTTACAGATGCATGCTTGGGCATTGCTAGGTGGTTGTCAGGGTGTTCTGGATGGTTGCTAAGGCATTGCTAGATGGTTGTCAGGTGTTCTGGATGAATGGTTACTAGGGCATTGCTAGATAGTTGTCATGGTGGTTTGGATGGCTGCTAGGGTGTTGCTAGGTGGTTGTCACAGCGATCTGAATGGTTGCATTGGTGTTAGGGTTTGGTTAGGTTGTTGTCACAGTTTTCTGAATGGTTGCTAGGTGGTTGTCATGGTGTTCTGGGTGTTTACTAGGGCATTGCTATATGGTTTTTAGGGTGTCCTGGAATGTTGCTAGGGTGTTGTTAGGTGATTGTCACAGTGTTCTGGATGGTTGCTAGGTGGTTGTCATGGTATTCTGCATGGTTTCTAGGGCATCGCTAGATGGTTGTCAGGGTGTTTTCTGTATGAATGGTTGCTAGGGCATTGCTAGGTGGTTGTTAGTGTATACTGAATTGTTGCATGGGCATTGTTAAGTTAGGTTTTTCTGGATGGTTGCTAGGTGGTTGTTTGGGTGTTCTGGATGGTTGCTAGGTGGTTGTCAGGGTGTTGTGCATGGTTGCTAGGGCATTGCTAGGTGGTTGTTTGGGTGTTCCCAATTTTTGCATGGGCATTGCTAAGTTGTTAGGTTTTTCTGGATGATTGCTAGGTGGTTGTTCGGGTGTTCTGGATGGTTGTTTGGGCTTTACTAGGTGGTTGTTAGGGTGTTCTGGATGGTTGCTAGGTGGTTGTCAGGGTGTTCTGAATGGTTGATAGGGCATTGCTATATGGTTGTTATGGTGCTCTGTATGATTGCTTGGGCTTTGCTAAGTTGTTGTTGGGTTTTTCTGGATGGTTGCTAGGTGGTTGTTCAGGTGTTCTGGATGGCTAATAGGGCATTGCTAGATGGTTGTCATGGTGATTTGGATGGCTGCTAGGGCGTTGCTAGGTGTTTATCACAGTTTTCTGAATGGTTGCTATGGTGTAAGGGTGTTTTGGAATGTTGCTAGGGTGTTGTTAGGTGGTTGTCACAGTGTTCTGGATGATTGGTGGTTGCCATGGTGTTTGGGATGGTTGTTAGGGTGTTCTGGCTTTGTGAAAGATAGTCACTGGCTAATGTCAAAGGAGCACATCCTTAAAGGAACCCCAGAATTTTCATTTTTGAGTCAATTTCTTAATCAAGCCACATCTGCGACAAATGAAAGACCAGAAGTCAGTCATTTCTAAGGGAAAGTTGTGTGGAGACTTTGTGGAGTTCTGATTCAATTAGTTAGACATTTCATAAAACACCTGCTATTTATTGCCAGTTGTTTCATTAATTCCGTTGTTCAACACTGTAGCCTTTGGCAACCAATAATATGATCCCTTCCCAATTACTGGCCGTCATTTCTTATGTGGGTCACTGTTCATTCATTAGACTATCCGGTATGCATTACTAATATCAATACTGATGCAAGCATCACTAATGAGTGCAATGCTGCTGCTATTTGTTTTAGACATTGTAGAGGCTTTGGCACGCTTGACCCTCAGCAGATCACTTTCAATATAACATTAACCTACATTCACTACATCTCACACTGTTACCTGAATCCTGAGCAAGAGAGAGAGGGAGGGAGGGACGAGTCTGAATACAAATCAGACTCTCCCCTAGACTCCCCGTTGCGCTGACTATCGCGCGCGCACACGCGCATTCGCTGCAGCCGCACTGGAGAGCTACGGTCGAGGTGACGGTTTAATCTCTCACGCCTCATTAAAGAGGGATCCGCCTGTGCGCGGTTTGCACACAGACCGTGAGCGCATCTGCGTGCGCTAATGTGAGGAAACGCTCCGCGAGAAAAAAAAATCCTGCGTGGGTGGGTAGATAGACGGAAGAACGGGACGAGGAGAGGGAAGCTGAATCGGTGCACGTTATGGCCACTGCATAGGAATCCATCGCGACGGCTGTAGGGTGTGAAGTAAGTCTGGCTATCCATCTAATTGTGCATGCAAACAGTTTTGGTCATTGTGGACGGTGCATGACTGTAATTTCAGGGTGCATGTGGGTGCGAGTGTGGCCGCTTTGGAGTGAGTCACCCTGGAAGGCTGAGAGATGTTTCCTGCCCCATAACGCTGGAAATCTGAAGGACGTGGAGAAGGAAGGAGGGTGGGGGTGTGGTATTCCCCAAACGCTAGCTCTAATTACCCTGTATGGCAACTCCCTTTAGGGTTTTACGCTCTTATTGCTTTCGCATGCATCCCCCACCTTTAATAGCTTGACATTGCGATGCTGACGGCTGATACATGTGGTGATTTGAAACGTGCATGTGTTTTGGGGGTGGCTCAAACCCAGAGACACGTTCAAATCAAAGATGAGACAGTAGAGCGATAGACACGTACACACACTGTAATCCAGGTTTTTACAACAGCACGCCAGCAAGAGGATTACGCTCTTGAGCATGTGTCCTTTTATTACTGGGTTGGACAAATGAAGAAATACAGAGAAGAGAGCGAGACAAGTGACAGATTAATGTCCTGGTAAGTGTTTATGAGTTGCATTTGTACAGGATGCAATGGAGGGCTGAACTTTAGTGATGTTTGTTAAAAGGATGGTTCATGCTAAACTAAAAATTCTGTCATTTGCTCGCCCTTATTTCATTTTAAAAACCTGCATGACTTACTTCTGAGGAATACAAAAGAAGATATTTGGAAATTTTTTTTTTAGTGATTTTTGTCGTGAGTGCATGAAAGTCAGTGGGGTTCAGTGTTTAGCATTCTTAAAAATATATTCTTTTGTTTTCTGCATTTTAGGTTTAGGGATGTGAACAAACCCTTCATTCTGTATAGGGCTGCACAATTTAGGGAAAATCTAATTGCGATTACTCTGATTAAAATTGTAATTGTTATTCAGGTAAATTATTTTGTTATTAAAGTTTGTAGGGCTGCACAATTTGGCCCTTTTTAAGTAATTATATAATAATAATAATTAGTAGTAGTAGTGGTAGTATTACTAAATAAAAATATGAAGAAAAAAAACATATTACTGTTTTGATGTAAAATAAAAAAAAATCGAGAATTAATCAAATAATTTACAGTACAACTGTAAAGTTTCGATACTAATATTTCTGGCTGTCTTCATTTCTTCATTTTCACACATTAAATCATGGAGCATTTATTCTGGTGGAAAACCACAGGGAGCCATTTCCAAAGCTTCTGACAACAGCTGGTTTGTAAGTGCTTCTCATTATAGATTTGGGAAGATGGTTGGCACGTCATGTTCCCAAATGACATTAAAGTGACCCAAACTCAGAGCAGAGATAAGTTTGTGTGGAGCAGCATTTACTGCACACCGAGCTGCTCTGAGCCGCTGAAACCACTGGATTATGAGCTGCTCATGTGTAAAAGAAAATAGTGCTGCACTTCACTCTGAAACACGCAGCACATATATTTATCACAACCTTTGCGATTTTGGTTTTATTTGATTATTAATTGTTCAGCCCATATACTTCACATTGAGACTGCATTGTTTGTGCGGTAATAGACATGAAAGGCGTGCTATAACCGCCCAGAACACTTTAACAACGGCCAGTCGTGTCTAGTAAAACAGTTCTGCAAAACTCTTGATTTTATCGGAAGATGTCAGGAGACTTCTTGTTCAGCAGTGTTAATTTTTACACAGTTTATTGTTGTAGCTTTCGTCTTTAGTTTTTTTTCCCCTAATGTAGTCAGTATTGCGTGATCATACATTTTAATCGAATTTACTCTAAAATTGCAGAAAATGTTAACATTTAAGCTGAAAATAATGTACAAAATACATTCTTCTCTTTGAATACTATGTCTCTCCTATTTTTTGCGAGTTGTTGAAGTCAGTTTGTTTTGGTGAAGATATTGCAAGAGTAATTCTTCACTAGGATTAGAAGCAAAGTCAAAGACCTTGAGGAGTTGTTTTGCTGTACTTATCACCATTCTTGAATAGCAATCTTTCTGAACTCTAATCTAATATGAAAGCTGAGACAGGCCATCTATATTTTTATACCTGAATCATAATGGAAATTCAGGGCAAGCTCTGCATTATAATGGAGTTGGTCCACCCTGGGAGACTACCATGTTTGACTGTACTAATTGAAGCTCATGTCCTTTGAGGATATAACAGCCTAGTCTCAATTTGTGGTAATCCAGCAACCATACATCTCTGGGAAAGCCCTCCTGTTTGAAGGGGCTTGTTCAGTATAAGGGGCTAATTTAAGCCATTGCTTTTGTGTTTGTTTGTCAGCTTGGCTCTGTAGAGTATAGAGGGCTGTATGATACACATGAGTTAGTCATACACAGCCAGACTTTTGACTGTCAAGCATGTCTGTCCCACTTTGCAGCTTTTTTTTTCGAGCAAAACCTGTTCATTTAGTGCCATCTGACCACAAGAATAATGCAAGCATTTTACATTTTTTGGACAAAAATGTTATTTAAATTTAAGCAATTTTGTCATTTCATATTCAAAAATATAATTATAATGAGTACTTAAATTTGTTACTGTTTAAGAATGACTGTTTTGAACTTTTTTATGCTTTAGAGACCTTTACTTTTACCTTTATTTTCTGTGTTTTAGGCATGCACTGGAAAATATTTACTTTGAAATAATTTTCACTCAGAAACTGCTAGCAAATTCCACAAATGATTACAAAGAAACAGCAAGTAACATATTTAATTAAACATGACATTTTAAAGTAGAAAATTGAAATAGTTAGTTCTAATTCTTGTAGAACATACTCCAGTAATCTTTTTTTTATTTACAACTTTTAAAAAAAAATTATAGTTTGTGGATATTATATTTAATATATATCTATATTTAGCATTAGTTATATTTGGCACATTTTGAGGCAAATGCGTAGACACATTGCAAGTTACAGATTTTGCCTTGATTGTATTTTAGTTAAACCATGCATTTGCTTCATCATCAGTGCAAAAGTTGTAATAGTTGTAAGTTAAATTGGTGAAGTTGAACTGAAATGACAGGAAGAGGAATTGCATTTAAATTTGAATTGAATTAATTGAAATTAAAAAAATTCAGCACAGGTGCATTCTGGGTAAAGTGTTTTTCCACCTTGGTCCACAAAAAATGTAACAATAAAATACCTTGACAAATAATTAATGTCTTAATAAATATATATACTGTATAATAAGTAAATAAATAATGTCTTATTGTACAAACTTTTGCTTTTCTAGTTGCTTTTTCATGTTCTTTCAATTAAACTAACATACTTTCAAATTCAAATTACATTGCATTCTGCATTTCAGCATTTCATAAATATATATTTAAGTATATATTGTTTCCTGATGAATAGATAAGAACTCATCCACTCTGATTTCCAGAAAGTGCACTAAGATTCTAGCTTACAATTTTGGCAACAATCTTTCTATTTTTGTGTGTAAAATGCAACAGACGGTCTGTAATGAGTCCATGGCTGGTCTGTGGGTGTGCAGTCTGAGTCTACACATGAGCAGACCATATGCTAGACCATTTCCAGACACTTACCTGCATGACTTTCTTTTTTAAGCTTGAAGCATCTACATAATTATCAAAGCATGTTAACATAAGCGAGACTAAACAAATGCAAATTATAAAGGATAAAAAAAAACAGTGAGCGAGAGACACCCAATTTATTCCTAAACCTTCTTCCAGGTTGGCCAATTTTCTTGTTTATTTGGATGAATCTTACATTAGAGCACATCTCTTTTCTGGATTGAGATTGTGCACTTTAGCTTCCTTTTTCCTCAAAGACATTAAAACAGCACACCATATAGACAGACTTTTTAGAAAACCTTCCAGTGTTGCCCGGCATCAGGAAACGTTTCAAAAAATGCTGGTCTGCCGCTTCGTTTTTTTTACATTATCTGAGGACTCACACACTGACAGATGTAAAATGTTGACTGCTGTGAGCGTAAGGCATACTAAAAGAGGAGGCATGTACTAGATGCTTTCTGTCGTAGAGCTTTAGTGCCTGCCTTCATGTGATATTCATTTCCCTGTCCTGAACTCAGAGGTTTACGCTGTGATGTTCAACAGACCTGCTGACAAAATGCTGCTCGGTGGTTCACGGACCAATGAAAATCCAGTCCTAGAGAGAGTTCTGGGTCCATCTGTTCGTAAATGAATACTAGGGTAAAGGGGCTTTGTAAGTGTTAATTAGATTGTAACTCACTGCAAATGGTTGCATCATTTGTTCTCAGTAGTTAGTCTTGTAGGTCATAAGCGCTCTGTAAAGTAGTCACTTAATTTGACGTCTACCTTAACCCAATAAGCGGCCTAATCTAGATTGTAAACAGCAAGTCTTGTATTATTTCAGTTTACCATTTATATAAACCTTTTTGGGTCATGTAACTGTCAATGAGAATAAAAAAATGTTCAGCACACACAAGAACAGGAAATACAATAAATAAATAATCATGAAATGCAATAAATAGCATATTTAAATATGTAAATAATAAATATGTGACCCTGGACCACAAAACAAGTCATAAGGGTACATTTTTTTAAATTGAGATTTATACATCATCTGAAAGCTTTCCATTGGTGTATGGTTTGTTAGGATAGGACAATATTTGGCTGAGATACAACTATTTGAATATCTGGAATCTGAGGGTGCAAAAAAATCTAAATATTGAGAAAATCACCTTTAAAGTTGTCCAAATGAAGTTCTTAGCAATGCATATTACTAATCAAAAATTAAGTTTTGATATATTTACGGTAGGAAATTTACAAAATATCTTCATGGAATATATATATATGTATACAGTATAAATAGTATATTTAGACTTTTCAAATACATATTCATATATGAATTTTAATAAACAAAATATATTTATTTTTATGAATATGATTATTTTTTATTAATATGTTTGTATATAAAATATAAAAATATATATATTAAAACACAGATAAACATCAAAATTAACCTTGAAAGTGTGCCACACAAAACTTGGCCTCTTAATATAATCTGACTGGACATTTTTCTGGTCACTTGTATAAATATTTAGTTTCTACATAGGGTTATGGGGTTGTGTTTAAATGTTGTGTTTAAATGTAGTCATGCAGGAGAATATCCTTCAGACGTGCAAAGGACGATTAAGTTATTTTAATTGAGTTTACTAGCTCCTGACCTGTTCTTTCTTTCTCTTTCATGTGAGAAGAATAAAGTGGGAGTGTGAGAGGAGGAACAGAGCAGAAAGAAGAGGGATCTACAATGGCAGCAGAAGAGAAGCCTGCTGTGAAGAGCAGTAGCTCCATTCTACCATGTTTCCTGTTTGTGGAGGTGAGTTATCCTACAGCCTTAACCTTAACCCTAACTATAATCCAGACTTTATCAAGTTGGATCAGGATGTTTTATGAACTCTGAATGGGCTCACAGCGAAAGATGTGAGGTTGTTATGTCATGGCCTTAAAGGAAGTGAAGCTTCTTCAAATTAATATGATCAAAGTTGTTAAAGATATAAAAAGAGAGGCTAGCTATTTCCTTTGTATTGATTCAGATCAGTTTTACATCATGTGATTTTGCAGGTCGTAGTTCACCCTATTTGAAGAAAACAAACTGCATTATCTTTAATAAATGAATTTTAAAATATAAACATGCATATACATTTCATTTTTCATTTTGAATAGTAAATGTGGTCAGTTCTTTATACATAAATATAAATAAAGAAACAGTAAAACAGTTTTAAAAATGTTAAATAATTGTTTCTATTTTAATCTATTTTAAATTTAATATATTTGATAAAGAATTTGATACAGAAGATATATATATATATCAAGACACACAAAGATCGCAGATCGCACTGCGTACACACAGAAACATTCAGGAGCCCCATGACTTTTATTAATAAATTAGCTTCAATACTGAAGTTGAGTAATTTGCATCACTGGATATAGCTGTAGGTCATTTAAAGGGGTCATATGATGCTGCTAAAAAGAACATTAAAGTGAGGTGTGCTGTGATTGGCCAGCTATCCAGTGCGTTGTGATTGGCCGAATACCTCAAGCGTGTGACGGAAATGTTACGCCCCTTACCATATTGTGATGATGCCAGGCCAGGCCAGAGCGACGAGACAAAATCATTAAAACCCATTATAAACGAGGCATTCGTTGCATCCAGTGGGGACATAATTATGGATTATAATGACTTATACTAGGCCTTTTACGCGTTGCGTTGCATCACGCCGCGTAAACATAAAACCATGTCTGCATTTGTGATCGGAGAAATGACAAACAACAAGTGCTACTCTACACTGCTCAAAAAACTTGCTTTAAATATATAAAATATAAAAACTCTTTAAATATAAAAAACGTACTTACAGTCTTTGAGTCAGAACAGCCGGCATTGTAGTCTACTCTCCCAGGATCAGGAAACAGTCCTCCGTAAAATGTGCTGCACACATCTGAATATTTGGGTTGAAGTGTTCTGGAACAGTGTTGTAAATACAACTTAACCACTGATTTCTAGTCGTGTCCATTTTTGGAAGACCAAACAAAGTAGTTTCACTTTCACAACGAAACAGCGTCAACCACATGTGAAGACATCGGGCTGGACTCCAGGCTCCAGGCATGATGAAGTGGATATCGTCCTCTTTTGGAAGACCAAACAAAGTAGTTTCGCTTTCACAATGAAGCACACAGCACACAATGGACTGAATTGTTTTTGTGTGTGTTATTGTGTGTGTGTGTTCATGTGCACTAATGTTGCGTGTGCATCACAAACACATCACGATACTTGCCTCCGCGGTTGTTACTATGGCTACCAATCAGCTGGATCTCGATCCTGTGTCTGTATCCTTCTGCTATATCATTTTTAGATGCTCTCTCTCCCACACGTGTAAATCTTCTCTTTCCTTCCTTCTTCAGCTTCCTTGCAGTAATACGCAGGCACATGCATTCACACACAGACATACAGTATTGTGCTCTTGCAGCATGCATATACGAATATTTGATAAGCCATTTTTCTTTTCTTTTTTGTTTAGCACATTCAACTATTGCTATGACTCACTTTAGCAAGACGAAGCAAAAGACTAGGATTGTGAAAGAAACAAAACAGCCAGTTATGTTGTAGTCTGTTCCTGGTGATGTGAATTATAGTCAGTAATGTAATTTAGATGACTCATTTTAAGTAATGTATTCAGACTTTTTTGGATTACTTTTAGATTACTTATGACCTAACTTGTTTATAGATTTGAAGGGGTTAATGTTGTAAAAAAGAAAGAGAAATAAATATATTCCAGTCTTTGTTATCAATATCATGAAATGCATTAAACATTACATTACATCAGTGTTTCCCAAATCTGGGGTAAATGACGAAACTGCAGAGGATTCGTGAGCTGATGAAAATCTTATAATTAATTAAATCATAAAAATGTAAATTCAAATAATTAAATTTTGCTTTTTGATGTTTTTTTTTTAACATTTGAAATAGTTTATTTGTTTTTACCTGCATGTCAACGTGACCATTAACATCAGAGAACTGTGAAGATGGGTAAATGTGTTCAGTTATTGAAATATTATCTTTAAATCTATATATAAATAAATATATAGAAAAAACAGTTTGGGAATCCCTGCAACACATGACATAAAAACAGCAATTTGTCATAGTTTACATTCTTTTTTCCAAAGGCTAAAGTTTGAAGAATGTTCATGCTGCTCTTTTATAATACTATGTAGAAAATCGTGACCAAGAACACCAAAAAACTCACAAAGGCACCATACTTTGTATATGTATTAGTACAAATCTTCAGAAGTCGAACAGTATTTTTCTGCGAGTCTGTGCAAATCATTATTCACTGACTATCTTCCCCTCAGCCGTATCCCAGATATTGTATCGTGTTGATGGCAAAGACAGTAAATTTAGATATATGATGACAGAATTTACATTTTTATGAAATTGTTAGTTTTGCCTCAGTAGATTTGTGACGGTGAAGAAGAAATTAGTTTTGTACCTCCTGTAAAATCCAGTAGAGGGCGCAAGACTGCAGCAGGTGCTTTAGTGACATTGAAGACCGTAAAAAACTTTGCTCACATCAGTTTGGTTTATATTTAAATTAATAAATATTGTTAACGTGAAGTGAAATTGTTAATTCATTTGTCTATGGATGTGAAGATTTGTTTGTGTGTCTCTGTGGGTCTGGTTTTGCCCACTGTGTGGTAAGCAAATATCCACAAAGATAGTAAAACCTGATATTAGCTACATTGTTATGAGGGAAACAGTTTAAAAAGTGCTTTAAAAAGCATGAAATATTAAACAAGCAAGATCTGAAAAGTAAAGGTAACACATCTGATCATCAGTCGATCTTTGGCAGTGAGCGATAGCAGATCTAGTTTCTCTGGCTTCTTTGATAGCAGCATGGAGATCTACAAAGGCGCTGGAAAATGAAAGGAATAAAAATAGATTTTTTTTTTAAACGACTGACACTTGAACTGGCGGGTCGCTGATGAGCATTATGGGAGCTGAGCAGTTTGACTCAGTAGGAGAAGACTAACACCGGGAAGGCAGAGAAACACTGTTGCTCTTGACAGATGAAAGAAGAGTAGAGAAGACTTGTGGAAAGGGAGGAAGAGCAGCACTACTTGGCAGCGTCCTAAATGACTTGAATTTGCTGGAGCGGCTTCTCAGCGGGATAATGTTTATTTACGGCACATGCTGAAACAGACTAATAACAGACTGATCACACATCTGCATCTACGCCTGTGGGCTCTTATCAAGCCGTTAATTGTGAAGCAACAACAAACATGTAGAAACATTATCCGTTTTGTGCAGTAAATGCTCGAATTCTAATTGAGTCAAGACTGTTGCTATTTTATCAAAATTCCTGAAGAAAACGTCTTAGTGACCCCTAGAGGACGCAGTTCGAAGTTCCCATGAAAGGGAACCAAAGGATGTACTGTATCTATATGATCCTTCTGATAAAAAATAACTTTTATTTGCTGATTTACTGGTCTTAACTGGTTTAAGATGGTCTCCCAAACTCCCAAACAAGCTGGTGTTCAGCTAATAAAGTGTCCAAAACTCTAAAGCCTGCCTGCCTAAAGATGTTTGTGGAGAGCAGCTAAGACTGATTTCATTAAAGATCATATTTTTGCGTCCATCCATCATCACACCGTGCAAGTATGAGGTACATGGCGTCCTTTGGTGCTGTTTAGTTCTGCTCATCAGGCAGAATAAAAGGCCCGTAATGAGCTATGAATGAGAGGAGAGATGAGCTGTCACTCAAACGGCTAGACAGCCTTCAGTGTCTGCCAGCGTGAAGAGAGACAACTCTAAAAATACTCTGAAAGACCAGACTGATGTCAGGTCCAATTAGAGCCAAGACATTTGAACGACACTGAGATTTTGAGTCATATCTATCTATCTATCTATCTATCTATCTGTCTGTCTGTCTGTCTGTCTGTCTATCATTTTGTAAGCTATAACTGAAATTTGATATATTTTAAGAAAGCATATATAAGCATGTATTAAGATATTATTATTATTATTATTAATAAATTAAAATTAAAATTGTATGAATATAAATAAAATATTATAAATAATAACAATATAAATTATAATTAAAATATATTCAAATTTAAAAAATAATTTCATTTTTAGAAATAAAAATACGAATAAATAGTATCAATAATAATAATAAATTAAAATAAATAAATAAATAAAAGCAGTATAAATTAAATCTGTATGTACTTCTGTCTAGCTTTTTAATGTACTGTATGCACGCCGCTCTTGAACCCTGAATCAGAAAGAGGTCAGAATGCTCTGAGGAGTCGTACCTTCTCAAACAGGCTCTGAAACAGATCTTCTGTGTGGTTCACCACGCTCTTCCCGAGATTACAGCACATCTGTCATCCTTAATTTATGACAGCGATGAATCTTGTCCTTTGGAAGTCCCTCTCTCCGCTCTCCTCCAAACACAATCGAGCGTGTCCTCCGCAGCACTTCTCCAAACCATGGAGTCGCCTGTCAGCTTTGCTTACGGTGATGCTGTGGTTAATACGGCGGCGGTCTCTATTGAGCTGTCTCAACTTGTTTGCTGTATGCTCCACAATAGAGAAGTGCATATATTACAGATTAAATACTCTTATGCATGACACATATTAACCTGTCTTCTTTTGCTCATGTCTTCCACAGCACATGTGCTCTTTATATGGGTTTGGTACAGTCATGTTTCCACGATACATTTTAGACTGATTTGAACTCCAGCTAAACTATCCAGAACTGAGAGATGACAGCAGAGTAATGTTGAATTTTGCTGGCTGTGGAGAAACATGTTGCCATATGGAATAATCCTCCTCGCCCCGCTCTCTAATTAGACTGTTTGAGTGAACACAGAGCCACAGAGTGATTCTGGCACAGTGTGTTTAATGATCGTTTCACGAACTCATGCCAAATAAAAGCAGCATGTTCCAGTGGGATACTCTTTTAAAATTTGAGCTGAATATTTCCAATTAATGAATGAATGAATGGATGGAAGATCAAGTGTGCATGTTATACACTACATGTGGGATCAGTGTTCACATACTCGTGATATTTATATGTATATATCACATTTATTTGTTAATTTAATGTTGGCCTATTTTATTGTCCAAAATCATAACTCTGATAACTCTGATAACCTCAAATCACACAATTTGAGGTATTATTAATTTTTGTAGCACAGTTATTCACCAAAGTACAGTACTTACAGTTACGTATGGTTAGGGGTATGCTCAAGTTTCACTCTAAATATGAGCAATAGCAATAGTGATATTTGCCCCATCAAGCACAACTAATCATCTTAAAGCTCCAGTCTGTCCCCCGGTGGACACATACAGCATTGCACTACACCGAAACTAAGATCTTGACCTTTTATTTTCTTTATGTTTATATTTCATGTAAAGCTGCTTTGGAACAGTGTGTGTTTAAAAAAAAAACATCATACAAATAAATTAATTTCTATTTGACTGTTATAATCTACAATTATATTCAGGCTGTTATGTTTGGAAACAAAATGTGCTGAATATTTTAACCCTGCAATGTTGTGTTCTTCACCATGACAGTTAAACACAACAGCATTTGTCTGTCTTTCTCTCTTTCTAACTAAGAGAGACAAGAAAAGCATTGAGAACACTTGACTGACACGTGGGTCAGGCTTTGTGTTTGGGTGTGTGTGAATGTGGGTGTCTGTGTGGGTAGAGAGATCTGGGTGAATAATCCAAGCGCATTTTTCATGCTTCAAGTACTCAGGAAACAAGTATTATGCACTTGTGAATAAAAAAAAAACGTGTATTCTCAAATACAGTGGCCCCTAAATGCATTTGAACACATATGTCACAGATAAAAATGTCATTGTAGTAGATAACATAATTATTTTTCCTCAGAATTTTCACGTTTGCTTTTTGCAAGCAAGCAATGCTTTTGAAGTCTATTCTCCCAAGTTCACACAGGTGTTTTGGTATTTTACATCTAGCCTAAAGTAATGACATTCATGCATTAGGTATCCAGATGTTGTGATATGGCTATGAAATAAATATATGCACTGCATGTTTTAGGCTACGTTTACACGACAACGGTGTAGTCAAAAACGGAAACGTTTTTCCCTTGCATTTTTAAAAAGTTTCACGTATACACGACAACGTTTTCAAAATGAGTCGCGTTTACAGATATCCGCGAAAATGGCCAAAAACGCTGCATTACGTATGCCATGCCAGTAGTTGGCACTGTCACCTTGCTAGTAAACAGTACCTGTAGGGAAGTGATGATTAAATGTTGTATATGATGCGTTTCCGCTGTTGGTTGTAATATTGGTGAAGTAAATCCACACTTTGCTGAAGAAGCGTTAGCAAACTCTTGAGCAGCAACAACAATACCATGTACTCCGCCATTATTGTGTATGTTTGTTCGCGCTTGCCTTTAAAATTGACACGTACTGCGCATGCTACATGCCTAACACGTACTATGCACGTGCACGACGTCACCGTTTTCAAAGATTCCCGTTGTGGGTGTTTACACGGAAATAATAATGGTGCCGTTTTCAAAAACTTGCACTTTGAAACCTGTTTTCAAAAATATGTGTTTTCAGTCCCCAAAACGCCGTTGTCATGTAAACGAACAGTCAAAACTCATAAAAAGTTTCCCGTTTTTGGCTGAAAACGTTGTTGTGTAAACGGCCCCTCTCTGAGTGAAGCGTGGCACTGTGTTCATTTACACATGAGCAGCTCATGATTCAGTGTTTTCAGTATCTCTGAGTGAGTCGGTTCACAGTAAATGCTGCCCATTTCTGCATATGATCTAAGTAAAGCAGGCCAGCATTCTTCCATACGTGTAATAAAAAAATAAATAAAAATCAACAACAGAGAAGCTTTAAGGTTTTGCGGATTTCCTCAAAATGGAAGTTTGGTGGTTTAATGTTTGAAAATGAAGAAATTAAGACAGCCCTAAATATTAGAAATTTTACAGATGTAATGTCAAATATAATTATTATTTTTGTACAAATTTTCTTAAAAACTTTTTTCTTTTGTAGTGAAATATAGTCATATTTATTTTGCAATTTTTATAGCTTTATTTAGTAGTATTAATTATTATTATTATTATTCAGCTATATCATTATATAACCGCAAATTACGCAGCTCTATAAACAAGCACAGTAAACCTTTTTTTTATCACTATTTTATATCAGAATAATCATAATTAGAAAAAGCAGCCCTATCCTGTAATATTTTTTTCATCGTTTTAAATAAAGCAATGATTGTGGTATGTTTGGAATACTATTTAAGTTTTTCTTCAAAAATTCATGTTTATTTGAATGTTGCTTGCCGTTTCTTTGTAATTGTTTGCAAAATACTGTTTTTATTTTACTGTAAAATATTATAATACTAGTATTTTTGTTTGGTTTTTGCCATTTTTATAGTTTATTTAGTAGTAGGCCAAATAGTAGTAGTAGCAATTATTATCATCGTTATTATAGCCATATTGATATAGGCCTATAATATGCAGCCCTATACAAAGAAGCACAGCAAACATGATTTTTTGTATCATACATTTTTATCAGAAAGATCATTTCATTTCATTTTTAAACCCCCAAATCATGCAGCCATACACTGTAACAAAAAAAAAGCAAGCTGTGTTGCTTGCCGTTGCTTTGTAACTGTGTGAAATTTCTGAGTGAAAATTGTTTCCACACCAAATTTTTCTCAGTGTACCTCAAACCCTTTGGGGTCACCATATATCAGTAGTTAATTTGCATCTTTGTGTTTTGAAGGTTGAATGAGAAGCACAGTGTGTCTTGAATGAAGGCGAGCTGCTTTTGAAAGTCGCTAATGAGCGCGTTCACACCCTCGTTGTGTTTCACACACATCCAAAATGTCTCTCTCGCGCACACGGACACACAACGCGCCGCTGAGCCTATTTGTGTCCAGCTCACGCTGTCCCTCCCCGCCGACTCTCATCGCGCCGGTCCTCCGCTCTCCTCTCTCCTCTCTCCTCTCGCTCGCTCCGCGCGGCTTTCCTCGCGGAGCAGCATGTAACGCTCTCAGTGTCACGACGCGCGCGTGTCTCTGATTGTTGCGGAGCGTCTTGTTCTGTGGTTGTAAAGCGTGGATCATGTTTTATTTTCAGCTGGTGATCATGGCAGGCACCGTTCTCCTGGCGTACTACTTCGAATACACGGACACTTTTCCCGTGCACGTCCAGGGCTTCTTCTGCTTCGACAAGGCGTTCTCCAAACCGTACCCTGGACCGGAGGAGAGGAGTAACGTACCGCCGGTGCTCGTGTACTCTATGGTAGCTGCTATCCCCACTATAACCGTGAGTAGCCTGTGTCTTTCCTACATTTCTCTGTGTGCTTGTGGGCAGCGAGGGTCAACTTCAGCATGCGTGATAAAGGATGAATCATCATTCATTATCAGGATGTATTTGCACGTGAGCTTTTGTGTGTGAGACAATACAGATCTCACAAACCCTGTCATATTTCACACCTAAATCAATCAAACTCAATGTTTGAATGTTTTATATTTAAATGTTAGGCTATATTTTTATTCTATGTATGTATGCATGCATGTATATTTCTACAACATCTTAATTGTGCTAAAAAAGGCTTTATTATATAAAGGTTTATATATGTTTGTGACATTATTTTCATAACAATTAAGTCCCTACACTAAAAAAACTAATTATTGTAATGCCAAAATAATCAAATTCTCAATACCATAAATATTACAATAGTATTTTTTTAAATATTGTATAGAGTATTCTTCTTCTTCTTATCATTATTATTATTATTATTATTATTTTATAGCCACATTTCTATATAATCACACCATTTTTGGCCAAATTATGCAGCACTAGTCTGCAAACAAGCACAGCAAACTGTGAAAAAAAAATATTGCGAAAAGAAGGCTTTATTATATAAAATTATATGTTTTAGGACAAGTTATATATTTTTAAATCAGGTATATATTTTATTATAAATATATTTTATAGAATTATATAAATTATGTATTTTATTTAATTTTTTTGTAATTTTGTTTGTGGCATTATTTTCGATTAATTAAACAATTAAGGCCCTA